CTTTTGTTAACTTATTTTTACTTAATCTTTTGTTAACTTATTTTTAGAAAATGTATATATATGCGATGCAAGAGATGAAAAGAGAGATAATAAAATTAATGTTATAATAGTTTTACGTAATTAACATGGTGCCCCGGGTACCTCTTAGTGGGATATGGAAAAAAAAAGATTCTTAAGCTTCAGTCCCACTAAGAATTGTGTAACATGCAAAAATAAAAATTTTCTGAACATAATATAATAAAAAAAATTCTTACATCTTATAACCAAAATACTTTTCCTAGATAAAATTACAGGAATGAGAATAATAATTATTATATATAGACCTAATGACAATTTTAGAAACAACTTTAGACAAAATTATGACAATAGATATAATAATTATAATAGGAATAAGAATTACGATAATAACAATTTTAGATACCATGACAGTTATAACAGTAACTTTAGAAACCATCGTCAATATAATGACTATAAATTTTGTGATGCCTTCATAACTTACTATGACTTGTGTAGTACCGATGATCTTAATTAAGTTTCCATCGTATGCGGTAAGTTGCAACTTGGATTTTTTAATTTCTCTAATGCCAACTCTCTTATTTCGTGAGGTATGATGTTGAATTTAGAGCCTGTGTCGACTTGCATCATTGTGGTAACATCATTTAATTTTAAAGTAGTCATAAAAGCATTATCATTATCATTAACCATGTTCTCAGTTAAGTTGTTAACGTTAAGATCATTAGCATTATTATCTTTTGTAGTGTCGACTTTATTTTCAACAATTTCTTCAATATTCATGTTACAATTGTTGTTGTATTGATTTTGGTCATTATATATTTGCTTTTTCTGGTTGTAATCATGCCACATGTTGTTTCCTCCATAATTACTTAAGTTGTTTTATAGGATTGGTAAATATTGATTTTGATCCTCGTGTTGGATCTGATTACTCTAATTATTATTATGTCATGTATTGTTTCTACCATAATTATTTATTATAGTCATTATATTGACGATGGTTTCTAAAGTTAATGTTGTTATAATTGTCATGGTATCTAAAATTGTTATTATCGTAATTCCTATTCCTATTATAATTATTATTACATCTATTGTCATAATTTTGTCTATAGTTGTTTCTAAAATTGTCATTATTGGATAATCTTAAGTACCAATCAAAAAAAATTTCATTTGTGCCTTGGGCGGCTAGATTAAATTAATTAATTAAAATGTTTATATCTTGTGTAGGTATTAAATATCTAAGTTTATTTATTATTAAGTTAAGGTCCAAAATTTCAATGTCCAAACATGGATCTAATTTAATCATACACATCATCTGTTAAATTAGCAAGTAATATATTAATCTTAACAAAGTCAGATGATGTGCTGTTAGTAAAATAATTAAGTACACGGTCTATATACAAGTCAGTTAAATTTCCGTTTTACTGAGAAATCTATACGGTAACTCAGTGGGTTTAACATCCATTAATAACTTTGTAAATCGTTTATTCTATAACAAAAATACATAAGATTTCAATAAATTCAGTGTCGCTAAAAACATAAAATTTCCCATTTTTCAAAGTATTGGATGAGGTCTCCTGAGTTGGACCCAAGAAAATAATCAACGTCGGGGTTTTCGTTAATTCAAATAGTATATCTTCAATGGACGTTATGGGTATATTAATGATTTTAAAAGAGAACATGTTAAAATATAAATAAATAATAAAAAAATTTTTTTACCTTTATATAGATTTTTTTTTATTATATAATGTTATAAAAAATTTTTTTTTTATTTTTGCATGTTACACAAATCTTAGTGGGACTGAAGCTGAAGAGTCTTTTTTTTAAGTATATCCCACTAAGAGGTACCCAGGGCATGTTAATTATGTAAAAGTGGTAAAATTATTTTAACATTAATTTTATTATCTCTCTCTTCATCTCTTGCATCGCATATATATACATTTTATAAAAATAAATATTTGAATAATAAATATGATAAAAATAAGTTAACAAAAGGTTACGTAAAAGTAAGTTAACAAAAGCTTACGTAAAAATATATAAAATCAAATCTGAATATAAAATATACAAAAAAAAGAATATTAAGATGAACGCGTAATGTAACATATTGGAAAGGAGTAAAATAAATATAATGGGAAAGGGAATAATTGCATTATTATAATTTGTTGTTTCCTTATTTGGAATCCAATCATTAAAATGGGGAGGGAATAAATGTAAGAAAGGAAATTATTGCAATAATTTATAATTTGTTATTTCCTTATTTGGAATACAATCATTAAAGTTGGGGAAAGGAGGGGAATAAATGTATCCTTGTAATATTGTTGTATCCTTAATTTTGGAATACAATCAATAAGTACATTATAAAGAGGAAAGGAGGGGAAATGAAGTTATTTATAATAGTCCAATAAAAACTAAGCATAATTTATAACATTTTGGTAAATATTCAACAAAAAAAACAAAATGTTAAGACAATTCATTGTTAAATAATTAACATATAATTAACAAATTTATCAAAGATCTCTAATCTGATTAATGTGTGCAATCACAACTTTATTATCTGTTTTTATTTCCCACAAGATATTACTGATCCTACCAATGACAGTACCCACTTGCCATTCTAGATTTGAGCTCACTGTCACAAACACTGAGTTACCTAAAGTTAATTCTCTACAATTTATTCTTAAACTATCCGACCTCACTCCTGGTAATGTAGGTGTACACGTATTACACTTAAACAAATATTTATTATCTTTATATGAAAACAAATTGTTAAGTTAAAAAATTTAATCTATCACCTATCTCTTGTTTATTACACATGTTTATCTCAAAATTGCGATTAAATCAAATTCTTTAATCCAATCTTGACCACATAAGGGTGGTCCCGCCCCATCTAATACATAAAAATCTAATATTTAATAATATTTAACCATTTAACCTTACAATTAATGACTTTCCCAACTACTGTGATGGGAGAACCTTCATGAGAGAATAATTTCCTAGAACAACTTTTCAATTCAATATTTTCATGATTCGTAAGCTTTTCGAAATCTTTAATCGGCAAGGATGTCACCGGAGAACCAGTATCTATCATAAAAGAAGAATTGAGATTATATCAATGATAAAATCATTCATATTCGTGGCCTCAGATTATACGGTATCTGTACAATCTCTTGCCTTTTGATGTTGTTGTCCGTACCCTTAAAATCATAGTTATTTTCTTTCCATACCGAATTGCCTTGCCACTTCACTCCATCATCTCTTCTCCATTAATCTTACTCTGCACGTATTTAAATATCAGTTATTTCCATCGATTGACATTTGACCACAATATCGTCAATAATGTTTAGATCCGTCGTATTTTCATCTATCAATATTACTTTAAGTTTTTCATTACGACAGTTAATCATGAATTGTACCGAAATCAATTTCATATTAAGCCCCGAACTACAGCCTTTCGGTCAATCCAGATATTCTCAGGAAGATTCAAGTCGGTCAGGTTTTGAATTAAATCAAAGATACGCGTTATTTTATTTTTTTCAACTTTTTTTTGTATTAAATCTTTCTTTGTTGATACGATAAATTGTCCATATTATCCATATGATAACCGCCGTCTCTTTATCTATCGTTTCAAACAGTTTATATTTTTTTGTGGCTTCATCAACAATATTCTCGGTTAAGAATTTCAGTCCAAGGTTTTTAATAGAACTTTTATTTTGATATAATTACTATCCTCCACCATGTTGCACTACGAGAATTGCAATCGAATTAGAATTGGTATAAAAATAAATATTGGTTTTTTATTCAATAAGTTTTAATATATCCTCTCTTTTTACAATGTTTAGCTTTACAAAATAAGCTTATTTCAAATCAATTGAACATAAACTAATGTCAAATTAACACATCACAATCGAACAAAATACCATATAAAAATAACGCCTTAAAAATAAACATTGACAACCACTAAATAACATAAAAGTACATATATCATAATTCTGTTTTACTTTTGTAAGTGCGTTCATTTTCGATAATATAATAATAGCTCAACTTTTTAATAATAGCTGAAATAAGGATAAGGAATAGGATTAAAGGTTAAAGAGATATTGGATAAGGCCAACTTCCTCTTCCAATTTTAATTTAACTAATAATAATATAAATTTCTGAAAATAATTTAAAAATATATTTATAATTTCGCAATACCATTTTATGTTAAATTGTTCATTCCCCATAATGCAGTGTATCTAGAAGAAATTAAATTATCTTTAAAAACAGCATTTAAAATGCTCATGAGATATTTACTCAGTAAAAATTTGCTAAACAGGGATATGAAAGGATTAAAAATATAGTACCGATTAATGTTGGGTGGACAAATATAAGAGTGTAATGTATTATAAATTTTATTTTAGAAATTCAAGTCCAATTTTCTATAATTTAATTGAAACAGGGACCAATATGCATACGGGATATATATATACTAGTGAATTTATTAAAGTATTTGTAAAAGTAACATTATAATAAATAATGAAAGTAATGAAGAAAGTCTGGACACTTGTGAGAATTAAATATCTAATTATCGAATGCATTGTGTCTGCATCTCATGGACTTAATTTGTTTTCAAAGATCTAGCAAATAAAATGTTGTCAATTTAAATTTTAGTAGCAAAAGCCTAAATTATTATAAAACCTGTAAATACACATTTAAGTAAAAAATAATAATATTTAAAAATAAAGATAGGATTGTTCTTTAAAGTTGCCTTGCCCACCCAACTCTTTGGACAGTATGTTAAAAATCTAAGATATTTTGCGGGAATACTCCATATTTATATAGAGATAAGAGACTCAATCTTTTTGATAATGAAGTTTCCCATCTCCTCAATTAAAATTGCCCAATATAATCTTTACAAGTTATAAAACAAGTCTAACTTTTTTTAAGATTATAAAATTCAATTTTATTAAGTAGGAGATCTTCATAAAAAAATGAACAAAATTACTTACTATATTCATGCAAAATACTGAACACCATTTTTTCATCACATTTCGTCAAAGGAACGGTTGAGTTGAATGATATTCCACCGGCCTTTTTCTCCTATAATAATTATATAGATTTAAACCAATTATTTAGATTACTTTGTAATAGATGTTTGGAGGTCTTTTGTTTAATCTTATTCCAACACTCTCAAGCTCATTTTCTAAAAGATGCCTTTTATGTCATTTAAAAAAAAAATTTAAATGTTAGAAATATCCCTCCAGCATATCATTAAAAAATTCATTATTTAAAAGAAAAAGGGATATAATAATATCAATCTTGTTAAAGTGAAAATTAAAACAGAATCAGAGAATCTATGGGTATGACTAAAATATGCTATACCAGAAACTAAGAATCCTTAAGAATCCCCTAATAAACATGAACATATTATATAAAAAATAATATATATTCCTATTTAGCTCTTCAATATGATTTAGAAAATGATTTTTTCATTTTAAAAAAAACCGATATATTAGAAAAAACATATTTTTTTCATGACTAAAATAAGATTCCAAGAATCCTGGCTAATTATGGACTATTATAAAAAAAATTAAAATTGAATCAAGTTTATCTCTTCAATGTGATTCATAAATTGTAAAAATTAATTTAAAAATTTTGACATCATTTTAGAATTCAATCATCAAAAGTCTAAAATTCCAAAGTTACCATAATTTTACATATTTTTATAATAGAGACCCGATGTTAGAAAAGGTATTTGATTAGGTGAATATGAACACCGTGGCTCGTGGTTTATATAATATGGTTACTCTAATAGAAACAATTAGCCTCAAAGGCAATTAAATATATGATGAATTTCAAATATATATATTATTAATTGTGTACGACGATTAATTGTTTGTTTTGTAAAATATATATATATACTGCGGTACAAAGGGTAAAAAGTTGTTAAATTTATAATAAAAATTGGTTTCATCACAATGGCGCAGTCGTTTCAAATGGAGAAATATAATATAAAGGAGTGCAATATGGAAGTTTATTTATCAAAAATGGAATTCATATTTAAAATCGCAAAAATAGAAGACAAAAAATCATTTTTATTAGCGAATATTGGATTAGAGGTTTATTCTAAATTATTTAATTTGTGTTTACCAAAGACATTAGAGGAAATATCATATGATGACATAATTAAACTTTTAAAAAATTATTATATGAAGAAGACAAACTTCATGTTAGAAAGATATTATTTCTTTAAAATGGAACAAGAAAAAGATGAAACCATAATAAATTAAAGATAAAGGCAAAGATGTGTGAATTTAAAGATATGTGTAATACAGTATTGCGGGACAAATTAGTGACAGGAATTAATAATGGGAAAATATTAATGAAATTAATTAACACGCAGGACTTGACATGGGAAAGTGCAATACAAATCGCGACCGCAATGGAGACTACAGAAATGATGTCGTATGAAAAATAATATGCAGGGAAGGAGATATATAAAATCTCAAAAACAATAACAAGGGAGCATTATGACAAGTACAAACCAGTATCAAAAATTATTTGCTATTGTTGTGGATTAGGAGATCACAAAACCTAAGTGCCCTAATTTGAATGCCATCTGCCATAATTGTGGGATAAAAGGACATTTACAAAAAGTATGCAGAAGGAATCGTGGGAAGAAAGAATATATTCGAACGATAGATGTTCCAGAAAATGAGCGAGAAAGTTTTGAGGATTGGGAATTTCCAGAGGAGTCTCGAGAAAAATTTGAGGTGAAATTATTGATAGATAAAATTTATATTAAATTTTTAATTGACACAGGATCGGCAGTCTCCATTTTGAATATAGAAGACGTTTACCGTTTAAAAATACCAGTAACAAAAACGGATATTATTTTAAAATCTTATAATAATGTAATGATCATATTAAAGGTAAGTGTATATTACCCGTTAATTATATGAATAAAGTTATATATCATGAATTTATTATTGTAAACAATGGGATTAACTTGATAGGTAGAAACCTAATAAACAAATTAAAATTAATAAAAATAAATCAATGTAATATAGTTAATGAGGTTTGGGAGGATAATATTGTACATGAATTTTCCTTATTATTCACTAAAAAATTAGGTTTACAAGAGATTTTAAGGCCAGTTTAGCGGTAAAATCCAACCCACAGTTAGAATGTATGAAAAGTAGACCGATACCATTTGCGTGGAAGGCAAAACTCGAAACGGAATTACAACGACTGGAATCCATGGGAGTTTTAGAAAGACTAAAATACTCGAATATCGCTTCTCCGATTGTGCCCGTATTGAAGAAAGATGGATATTTATGAATTTGCGGTGATTTCAGACAAAAGGTTAATGCAAATATTTTGATAGATAAATATCCTTTACCCAGAATTAATGAATTATTAGCCACACTAGGTAATGGGTGTAAATATACAGTATTAGATTTATCCGAAGCATATTTTCAAATAGAGCTAGATGAGGAGGCAAAAAAGCTGTTAGTAATCAACACGCCTAGTGGATTGTATCGTTTCACACGACTTCCGTTTGGGGTAGCCTCAGCGCCAGCGATTTTTCAACAAGCAATGGATTCATTATTAAAGGGATTACCTGGAGTAGCGGTATATTTGGACGATATAATAATTACGGGGGAATCAATTGAGAGTCATAAGAAAAATTTGATAAATGTATTAAAGACGTTATAAATAAACGGTATGAAATTAAATCTTAAAAAATGTGATTTTTTTAAAGAAAAGATTGAATTCTTAGGTCATACCGTTAGCGAAGAGGGAATTACGACAACAAATAAGAATGTCAATGCAATTTTAGACGCACCATTACCAAAAAACGTCAAAGAATTACATGCTTTTATCGGTATAATAAATTATTATCAAAAATTTATAAACAATTTCTCGACTATTGCCGCTCCATTATATAGGCTTTTAAGGAAAGATGTGCCATAGAAATGGACAAATAATGAAACAATTGTGATTAATAAATTTAAAAAACTAATATCAGAAGCACCAATTTTAACACATTATAATCCGGAAAACCCGATAATTCTAGATGCTGATGCGTCTCAACATGGAATAGGCTCAGTTATATCTCATATCATTAACAACGTGGAAAAACCGATTGGATACGCGTCTCGAACATTAAATGCTACCGAACGAAATTAAAGTCAGATAGAGCGATAGGCTTTAGCAATTATATATGGATTAATTAAATTTAAACAATATTTAATTGGCAGACATTTCATTATCATTACTGACCATAAACCCCTAATATCGTTATTTAATCCACATAAAAGAATAACAGATATGTCATCAAGATTAGTAAGATGGTCATTACTACTAGCAAATTATGATTATGAATTGCAACTTCGAGGGACGAAAAAAATAGCAATGCGGATATGCTTTCCCGGCTTCCAATTGACGGTAAACCATCTGCTTGGGAAGAGTTAGATATTAATTTAATAGTATCGGATGCTCCACAATTTATTTCAGCGTTAGATATAAAAGCACACACAAGAAATGACCCGATATTATCAAAGGTTTCACGTTACCTTACAACTGGATGACCAAAGATAATAGAGGAAAATCTAAAACCGTTTTTCCAGCGCCGAAATGAACGGGTGTATATTATGGGTATTAAGAACCATAATTCCAAAAAAATTACAAGTAAATATTTTGTCTTTTTTACATATGGGGCATCAGGGTTATACTAAAACAAAATTATTGGCACAAGAGAACGTTTGGTGGCCGAATATTAACGAAGATATCGAATTACGCGGTAAGAATTGTGAATTATGTCAAACAAATAATCCTGGCAATAAAACGATCATAGGGAAATGGCCCTCCGCAAATAAACCATGGGGAAGAATTCATTTAAATTTTGCCGGACCAATTAACGGAGATATATATCTAGTGATAATAGATAGTTTTAGTAAATGGCCTGAAATACAAAAAATGACGACGAATAATTTTACTGAAGTAAGAAAATTGTTGTTAAGACTTTTTGCTATTTTCGGTTACCCCAATACGATTGTTACGGATAATGGCCCCCCATTTCAAAGTAGAGAATTTAGTTTATTTTGCAAACAATTATCAATTAAAAATGTATATAGTGCCCCATACCACCCTAGAACCAACGGAGAAGCGGAGCGATGAGTACAAACTTTTAAAAATTTTTTAAAAAAACATAATGATTATAATAAAATACAAGGTTTTTTGTTTAATTATCGAAATACGCCACAAATAACCACAAAACAATCACCAAGTTCAATTATGCTTAAATTTCAACCCATAGGACCTTTACAATTAATAAAACCAATTTATCCTCATCCATATATACCTCAGTTACCAGGTTTTTTTAATATAAATGAAAAAATATATGCAAAAGATTTTAAAAAAGATAATTGGATACCAGGTATCATCGTTAAAAGAACAGGACCAATGACGTTTTTAGTTGAAACTAAATTAGGGGTATGGAGAAGACATATTAATCAGTTAAAACATAGGTTCGACAACTCCGATTTAAAAAATAGAGAGGAGGGAAGAGAAGAAGAAACGATGCAAACTACACCACAAATGAATGAAAATGATCATATACAAAATTCGATAGCAAAAGACATAGATCCTATACACGAATTGGTGACCAAAGACATGGACCCAATACAAGACTCAATAAACAAAGACACCATCATAAATGATAAGATGAAAATAGACAGTAATGAGCAAACGGTGGTAGAGAACGAAAGTACAAGCAGCCCTTATCCAAAACGGATAAGAAAACAATTTATACCGTTTCAAATCGAGAGCCCAAAAAAGGAGAGAATAGATGTAATAGAAACAATTAGCCTCAAAGGCAATTAAATATATGATGAATTTAAAATATATATATTATTAATTGTGTACGACGATTAATTGTTTGTTTTGTAAAATATATATATATACTGCGGTACAAAAGGTAAAAGTTGTTAAATTTATAATAAAAATTGGTTTCAACACAGTTACAGTGGGTGCCTTTTGTTGAATATTTTATCAAAAAGAGGAACGATTACTGCTCTAAGATATAAAATTATAGAGATTGAATTTGAGTTCGAGGCAGATCAAAGAAAATAAGTACAATAGATCTAACATCAGATATGCTAGATATTGATATACTCGTTTCAAATTGGCATCCAATGATGATAATAACA